CCTTCTTTGGTATATTGCTTATTGAGACTTCTACACTAACACGATCTTACAACAGAATAGGAATAATTCAATCCCATTAGAAACTAATGCAATTTTTCTTCTTATTTTTCCCTTGCCAAGACTTCACACGTACAACACTCGCATTTTTATCCTTGAGTCTTAAAAAATCTTTTAAGTTGATCCCAAAGTCTTTTCATTTTTATATAATAAGTAGAAATTATCTATTCACCTTGTCTAATTTTAACTATTTATCTTTTCAGTTCTTGAATTCAAGGTCCACTTCCTTGTGAAAACTTCTTTTTCAAATTTCTCCAAATGTCATAAGTAATGTCATGATATGCAACTTTATTATGTAACTCCTCATTAAGTGAGTTTAACAACCATGCTACTATCATAGCAGTACAAGTTAGCCAATCATCCTTTTCTAGATCTCCTTCTTCTAGTTTCGATATTTTTCATCTACAAATACTAGCTTGTGTTTCGATCATAATGTATTGACAACAGCTTTCTTCCATGTTAAATAGTTGGACCCCTTTAGTGTATGAGATACCAAAAAACCACCTGGTCTATCAGAATTACTCAAATGATAGTGGAATGGTTTATTATTCATGGTTTTGGTAGAAGATTTTACTTAGGCTTCTTTTCGTTTTTCTGCCATAGAAAAAAAATTTCGCAAGAAAAAACAACTAGACTCTGATACCGTGTAGAAAATACCTACGATTTAAGCAAAGAACTAAATTGCTAGATAAAAATGAAAGACTATCTAAAGGGTTATTTATAATAATTAAATAGACCTAAACCTACTCGGTGTGCAAATAAAGTAAATAGTAAATAAATAAGTATTCTAACCCTAGACTTCGTTAAAGTATAAGTAAAGTAAAAAAATAAATAAAAAAAGATTAAATAAAGAATATTCTTTTTAATATATTCTCTCTTTGATTTGAAGATATTGGTATATTTCATAATAGATCAGGGGCTAAGGTAGGTTGGTACTAGGCTTGTAGTGTATAAAGTAAAAAGAAAGTAAATAGTGGGTTTGCTTGGCTAAAAGTTGGCTATGGAGGTGGAATGGTAGCTACAATGGTGGGAGGAGCAAATATAATGGTGGTAAGGTTAGTGATTGTCATAAATTAAAGTTTAAAAACATAATTAGAATAAATTAATAAATTTTAGTAAGTAATAAATTAATTATAAAAAATTTATAACTAAAATTTAATTTTAAAAATTATTATTTATAATTGGATTCAGATAATTAGCACTTTAAAACCATTATCTGAACACATTATGAGCAGTGATTTTACTATTATAATTTAATTACAATATATCTTAATCTTACTTAATCTAGTCGAATAATGAAAGATACCTATTTACAAAGTACCCAAGTAATATTCCTATTTCTACGGTAAAAAATCTATACTACCTTCAATGTAATCTTCATGGGAAACTTTATAAACTTTAGGCTTTGGATGTTTAAAAGCCTTGAGTGCATGGTATAACAATCCAAATATTTATTTAATTATTTTTAACAAAGAACTAGTAGAAACTTTATTTAAATAAGGCTAGATGCTCAAATTAGAGCTAAACGTTTAGGTACTTTTTCAATTAAGGGCCAAACGTTTCAATTGTAACAATTAAGAACCCAACATTTTCAATTCTTTACAATTAAAGGCTAAGTTCATAAGAGGATGGACCGTGTACCAAATGTGACAAAAATCATGTGAGCTGATGACATGGTAGCTGACTTGGCATGTTATCCAAACAACACCATTTTGATATAAATCTTATGCCTAATTTTTCCCTAATTTCACCCATTTTGCTTCATCTTCTCTCCAGTCTAACTCTCTTTTCCTCAAAGATGGGTAGGTGCATGGTCATCGGTTAGGCAATACCAACTCATGACATCGAACATTGTGGAATGTGTTAACTCATGTTTGAAGCTTGCAAGACAAATACCAATCACCGTTCTAATCGAGTTCATTATAAACATATTCTAGCATTGTTTCCATGAGCAGCATGAGAATGGCGTCAACGTTTCCACACCCCACAAGCCTTGGGCTACTTCTTGGTTGAGCCAAAAATCCAATGAAGCACATAACTTTATAGTTAAACCTATCGATCAACGGCACGTCAAAAAAATAATATTAATACACGCCATTTTCTAAATATTTGTTATGTAGCATGTTGAAAAATGTTGCTGTTACTTTTTATAGAAAAAATGTTGCTAACACCATATTGAAAAATATAGTATTACACGTCATGTTCTAAATTTTAGTTGTTACATGCTGTTAATATAGAAGTCTTAATGCACAATATACTAAGAGGGGGTAAATTGATATTTTTAAAAATCTCTTTGATAATTAAGTATAAATATCAAAAAATTTTCACCCAAAAATATTGCTTAACATCAAAATCATATTTTCAACAATAAATTATTAAGTATAAAAATAATCAATCAAGGTAAAATATTTTTTCTTAAAAATAAATGCTAGCTATGAAAGGTAAAAGTAAAATATTTTTCCTAAATGAAAAATAACAAATCAATATAAATGTATTTTCCTTAGGCAAATATAAATAATAAACAATAATGCTAGAAATTAAAAAGACACAAACAATTTATAATGGTTCAACTTTTTGATGCTTACATCCACTTCCTTGATAACCAAAGAATTTCAATTTACTATCAAGGATTCTTACTTTTTAATGGGAAGCGATAACTCTCATATAATCCACAAAAGAATTCTTGCTCTTTAATGGGAAGTGATAATCTTTACACAATCCACAACAGATTTTTACTTTTTAACAGGATCAAACGGTAACCCTTACAATGACTTTTTACAAGATCAAACAATAACCCTTACACAATCATCAAAGGAATTCTTGCTTTTTAAATAGGAAGCGATAAACCTTACCAGATAGCTTTTCAAGGTTAAACTAGAACCTTAACAAGATGTGTGTACAAAGGAGTAATAGCAAACATTTGCCTTACAAAGTCTAGATACTAGAGATTTTAGCTTGATTAAAGCAAGGATTCAACTTCAAAAGCTTGATGGAAGACTAAAAAGATACTAAAGAGTGATGCTGAGTTTATGGGTATTCTTTCTAGGGTTTGAAGCTTTGGTTCAGGTCTTTTCTACTTCAAAATGGTTTAAATGCATTTTCTTATAGTTAGGGCAAGATTTGAAGTCGTTAGACACAAGTTTGAATCAAATTTAGCTATTACTGAAGCTTAAGGGTTAACTACAACGCTTCTAGTGTTGACTCTGCTCTTCAAATTTCTCAATTAAGGCTTCTATAATCGAGTATAATCTTTCTATAGTCCATCAACTTCCAAAAAGCATGTATTTTTCAAATTTGGCCTTCTTTAGTCAACTATGCCTATCTTATAGTCAACTATGACTATTTAAAGTTGGCTTCTTCTAGGCTTTGATTTGTCAGGATCAACTATACTTCTTCTATAGTCGACTATGGCAGTGTAATCTTGACTTTTCTTGCTTCTTCTTGTCAAGGTCGACTATGCTTCCTCTACAGTCGACTATGGTTGTATAATCTTCATGTTTTCCACTCTTGTAGCCTTCAGATAGACTTAAGCTTCTTTAGGATCAACTATTGGCTTGTATCTTGAGGTTTCCTTGGCTTTTCGATACTTCTCTCCAACTAGTTCCTTTTTGCCTTGTACCTATATTCATATAAACAGTTCAAGGCATGTTTGTTATTGATTTCTTAGCTGAATATGCATTGTTTAAAAGCTAGTAAGATGTTTTCTAATGAAGCATGGCTTTTCAAACAAATATGTAACCTTAAGGGATTAAAATGAATTTGAGACAATTTCAAACGCTTGACATTAAATTCAAGAAAACTTGTGATTTTTGTCAAATCAAAATATAATATAACTCAAAGCTAACACATGCCATGTTAGAAAAAATTATTACATGTCATGTTGAAAATGTAGTTGTTACATACCATGTTAAAATATGTAGTTGTTACATGTCATGTTAAAAAATGTAATTATTACACGTCATGCTAAAAATTTAATTGTTACACAAAGTTGAAAAATATAGTTGTTACAAACCGTGTTAAAGATTTAATTGTTACACGTCATGTTAAAAAATGTAATTACATTCCATGTTGAAAATTTAGTTGTTACATGCCATATTGAAAAATGTAGTTGTTGCATGTTATAATGAAAAAGTTGTTACAAACCACACCATAATTTGAATCGTTTTTATTTGATAAAAAAGATTTTCTGACAAAACTACCATTTCATATCTTACACGACAAGATGACAGCGACGAAAACCACAAATAGGTGACGCCTGATAAGCTGAGGGCGACAAATACCCAATTGGACAATGAGACAATGGAAAGGAAAAACGATTAGAGAGAAGAGCAGGCAAAGTGTGGATAATTTAGGTAGATGGTGGGAAAAACAAAATGGTAGAAAATTTTAACTGATGGGAGTAATCAAATAGGAAAAAACAAAATCATTTTTACTCAGACAAAACAACGTCATTTGTCAAAAATCCAATTCACCTGTCATGTTAGAAGCAAAAACCCAAGTCAGGACATGCACGTTTGTTACATGCGCCAGATACCTATCATCTTAATCTTTAATTGTAAACGTTTAGCGCTTAATTATTACAATTGAAATATTTAATCTTAAATTAATAAAAATTTAAGATTTTGACTTCAAATTGAGGATTTAGTCTTCAAAGGACTCTACTTATATTTTTCTTCTTATTTAAAAAAAGTTATAATATAGTATCATAACTACTTATTCGTTTTTTAAAGAAAAAAAAAGTGGAAGGCAAAGGCACCGCCTTGCCGTACAGTCCTGGAGTCCGCTAGCTAGTAGGAAATATATTATTTTTCTCGTAATTTGTATATTTTAAGAAAGAAAAAAGAGAGAAAATGATAGACATATGAATAGACAAAGTAATTTGCCAAAGATATTTGCACTTGCATGGAACAAAAGGTAAAACCCGTAATCAAAACAGAGTTAAACTTTACAGTGTCTTTTCATTCCTATCAAAATTTTTTTTTAAAAAAAAGCAAAACAAATTGTTCGAGTTTGGTTACATTGGGTTTTGATTGGACTTTTCTTTTCTTTTTATATTTTTAATAAAAGAAAAATTACTTGCTTGAGTCTTTTAGGGTTCATATTGCTTTTCATCTCTGGTAAAAACTGTAGACCTTACTGTTTTGAGTGTCACTGTTGCATTAGTTCTTTGTCTTTTTATTTAATTTTCCTTCTTTTGTTTGGTTTACCAACAATATTATAGACAAAAAGTTAATTAGGCTTGTGGGTTTTTCTGCTTCTGAATTTTTGTCTGCATAATTTTACTTTTCCTCCATTTTTTTTTTATTTTATTTTTGCCCAGAAAGTGAGTGAGAGAGATGGAAACATCAAAATGTATTGTGGGTTTTCATGTTCCCGTTGGTCTGGTTTCCTCAGGTCTCAAGTAGGCTCTTCTGCTAATCCAATCAAACAGACAGCAAAACAGAAAATTCCATTTTATTTTGGAAAAGTATAAGAATCTTGTAACCATAACTATGCCATTGATTTTTGCATTTATAATACCAAGGACTAAAACAAAATTAACTTGAACAAATTCTGCACAACTTTTCTCCTGTTTCAAGCTTTCCTATATCATAATATAATGATGCCCCTAACATTATCGAGTTGAACTTGTCTGTGCTTTTTTTACTTTTTATTTATCTATTATATAGTAAATCTTCATTCCAACAATGTCAAGCTCAAGCCAAGCTCAAGTGCCATCTAGTTCTCCTGACCCTTCCACCCAAAACTCGGTCTTAGAGGGAAAGGCAGCAGCATGGGCGGACGGTCTGCCAAGACAAGGAGGAGCAAACCCTTGTGGAACTCTCATTCGCCGTGCCGTCAGTGATTCACATGCCCTGTCAAAAGCCCTTTTTGAGGACTGGATTCCGGGTTTAGCTGCTGATGGTGCTGAAGAGAATTCTGTTCGTTTAACTGGCTTGGAATCAACACTTGTGTACGGGCCTAACTCTCCTAGGAGAAAAAGTGCTAGTGTTTCAGACTATGCCTCGGCTTCAGCATTATCAGAAAGCGTTTCTCAGAATATACAGCAATCAGTTGGAGAGCCCGCAATAGCAAAGACCGTAAAACGGTTAGTGTTTGCTCCCTTTGTTTATAATTATGTCAAATTTATATTACTATTCCTTTCTTTGTGTAAGAATTTCATGGTCATAGTGCCTTGAAGGACTTTTTAGTTCATATGGTCTTAAAACCCATGGCAGTTTGCTTCTCTAGTTGTTTCCTGGTATTTTTGGATACATCTTGTTAACTATTTCTAGTATTTCACAGCTTATATTCTCAATCAAGTTTCTGAAGAGTGCATTAGAATACTGTTTATTGTACTAGCACAAGCCGTATTATGCCACAGTTGAAGTTTCAGTACAATCTAGTATTGTTAGGAAGCTATTTTGAACCAACATCCTTATGACGTTTAGCTTGCTTTTTTCCATTCTTTTCCTTGGGAAGTGGCAGTAGATGCACTTGTGGGTTTTGGCTCAGGAAGGGAGGAAAGAATTGTATCGTAATAGTATTTCCAACTTTCAAGATTGTTGGGTTTCTGGCCCTTTTTTAGATGTGATGAAAGGGGGACGGTGCAGTAATCCATCACCCTTCACATTCTATTGTTTTCCACTAGCATGTGTTCTTCTGTTAAAACGCTTTTACTGTTATAATGTATATTCAGTTTTTGAATTCAAAGTTATGATACTCAAGTGAAAAGTAATAGTACTAATACAGGGGTTTTAAATCTGCCATTGCATTTTTGTCTTGTATGAAATCTTAGGAACTCAAGGCAGCACTCAAGGGACCGCAAAGTCCGGTATATTGCAGAATTAGAAAGAACTATAAACCTTCTCCAGGTAATTGCTCTGGGAGATGTCGTTAGATTAAATGTGCTAATTAATGATTATTACATTCTAATCTGTTCTTAGGATGATCTGCAGGCTAGTGGTCTTGTTTATGATCTTTAAAAGAACCTAATAATTTTCTTAGGTATTGTTATAATGCCCAAGATATATGCGCTGGGTAAGATAAATAACTCTATCCATGCCCATCAAGGTTTTAGCTTAGGAAATGTACTTGATTACTGTAAATAGAAAAGAAAGATATTTTGTAGAAGCATGGCACCTCTATTATTGTATCATTTACTGTAAAGCTCTGTCTTCGTCCTTGAATCATTGAGAACTATTCCTGCACCTGTAATTGCAGGCGCTGCCTATGTGGAATTTTTTATAAAGTATTATGCTTGTAATGTCATCATTTGAGCTTAGTAGCATTCTTATCTTTGGCTGACACTGCTCCAGCTTCAATATTATAGTACATATAGAAATGTCACAGGGTGCTGCTGACATTGTTGCCAACCAAAGGAAATTTATTGGCTATGTTTCATCATGCAGACTTTAAATACAGAGCTGGAAGTTAGAGTTGTTTCTCAGAATCAGCAATGTGCTGCTTTGTACATGGAGAACAACATATTAATGCAGCGACTGGCCACACTGGAGGACCAAATATTTATCAAAGAGGGTGAGTTATCCTGTCGATTATCCTGGGTTCTTTTGAAATTCAGTAGCCATGGTCTGGGCAAAATAACACAAAAGGGTTTTTCACCTTTCAATCTCTTCAAGGTCATTTTGCCTAAACAAATAAAAAACAACTACAATAATCAAGTATACCCAAAAAAAAAATTCATATATTAAAATTGCATTAGTTATTTATGGCTTTAGGTTAGAAAAGCACTCTCATGTATTGAATGATTAGAACAGTTTCAACTGATGCCTGTGCTGCATTGGTATATTTAAACTGTTGTTTTCACATAGCTTTTGAATTAGAGCATTTATTAGGATACTAGGTTCAAAGGAAAATCACTCGGCTTATCAAATGCAAGTAGTTTTGAAAGGAAATAAGGAAAAGGAAGAAAAATAACATGCACAGTATTGTTGTTGTCTATCCTGATCTTCGAGATAGAACTTTGGCTGAGAAACAATGGTTTTTTCACTTTAAAACTTTGGGATTTGGGTTAACTTAAAAATATTTCCGTCATTCAGCAAGTACTAACATGAGAAGATGAATCCATGAATTCAATATCAATTGTTCTTATTGTTAGCAAAACAAAAATCAATTCTCTTACAACAATGTACAAGTAATTTTATGTTCCATTAAATCACTGTTATCATGCTTTTCTGTTGCAGGTCAATATCAGTTGCTGAAGAAAGAAAATGAGAGACTGAAGAATGCTTTCGCAAGTGGTGCTCCTGAGGCAGAGCGATCACTAGTCACTTGGCAGATATTAGACATGGCAAAACGTAATCTTAGCTGATTAAATTTCATGCTACACCATACTAGACATTTTTTGATACTTCTAATAATAACCTCCCAAGACTTGTATCCTTACCAAATTAAGTTTTTGAAGCCAGATATGCCTTGTACAAAAGGACTCTGACAAGGCTTAAGAATCTTGTGCCCTAGCTGGAATGATTGGTCATGTCTGTCCTTTAGAGCTTGCCTTGCCCCTGCAGTTTCAGCGCATCCTGACAGTCCAATTTTGTGTCTTCCGTTGTGGGGTGAGGATTGGGCTGAACGTTCAAGAGGCACAACAGCGGTTCTGGTGGTGTTTATGGATGGATCAGGTTGACAGCCTGGAAATCTAAGCTCAGAGATTGTGCTTGAACCTCTTCTTTTAAAATCTAAATTATATTTATTATTAAAATATTAACTAGTTTTTTTTGTATTAATATTTTAACATGTTTAAATAAATTTTTAAAGTTTTTGTGGGTCAAGTCGGGTCGAGGCCTTCTAATTTAGGCCTGACCTTCTGACCAAGCCTACTCCTGGAATGACGTCTACGATCAGATCCATTATGACGGGGTACGGCAAGGTCTAGGCGCTGAGGTTGAACATAACTAGCAACCTAGGTTGAAGGTCAGAAGCTATATATATATATATAATTTTACTCATATGTACGAAAAATGTATTCAATTACAAAATAATACATGTCTTTTAACAATTAGTAAATGGAAGAAATTTTAAAAAATGAATCATGTGGCGTGTGCATTTGATGACATCATTGGATGAATTAAAATTTATCTGTTACTATGATATTTAAATTTGATAAATTAGAATTTACTTATGAATTATCTAATTTATCTTTAAATAAATCAAAATAATTTCGATACTAAATCCGAGTTTTGATCATCTAATCTCTTGTACGGAAAAAGCGAAACAATGAGCATTCAACCATAGTATGTATATGAAATTTTAAACAATTTTCTTACAAGCATAATTTTACTTTGTATATTTATTATAGATAAATCCTAACTAAAGGATAAACGTTTATAGTATCTTGATACCTTGGGAGTCAAAATCACAATATCATAAACACCATTCAATTCTCTTAATAAAATAGGTTGTAGCAAATCACAAGCTGTAGACGTTGTCAATCTCTAATGATGATTGACACAAATGACAATTAAGAATAATTAGCATGAAGAATAGACTGTTTATGCTTGTAGACCTTAGTGTCAGTCTCAATAGAAGAGATTGTAAGCTTCATTTGTTCTCAATCAGCCACACTAAAGATCATCACAGATGAAACGAAAATAAATAAATAATACAAAAAATTGAATAAACAACCCATCAATATTTCATATATGTCAACCACATACTACCATTCTATACCTGTCCCATTGTAAGGTTCCATCATGGAGTGTGATCCTTGCAGCCATTGACATTAATACTCCCATTAAGACAATTTTTACCCCTTTTCATGAAATGTATGCAGTAATGCTTATTATAAATCCCCACCCACTAAAATCAATTAAATCGCAGTTTCAATAGAAGTTAATTCTGCACAATATGTTTACAAGGGCATACTCCATCCAGCTTCTGCCTATACGCGTAGTAGCAGACCATCTAACTGCGGACAGATGCTCGAGGAACAGTTGGCAACCCAAGTTCATCCTCAGCCTGCTGGGCGACAAAGTTAAAAAAAGTTTAGATTGATGTAAAAATAAAACCGAATCTCAAGATATAGTTATTTTAGAAGCTCTAAAAACCAATTATAACTATAAATTGCAAGAGCTCAAGAAGCCAGCTATCCAGAGTAGTTACTACAAAGATGGCCATGGGTAGAAGCGTAGAAAACACAGGGACTTACAATAGAGAAACTGAGCTCTGATGGAAGTATAAAACATACAACAAATCTTACTGTCATTTGAAAACAACTATTGTCATATTGTTAAAATAGGGTCAGTGGGAGCAAAGTGGACCCCAACGGAAGAATGGGATCAACAGTACAAATATCACAATTCTTAGGCACAATGTGCTGCCCATGTACAGCAAAACTATAAAAATTCTTGTATTAAATTATAGTTTAAAAATTGACTTATTACCTGAGCATTGGACCTGCCAGCAGGTGCTGTAGTACTTCCTGTGGGTGCTGAAGGCAAATTGAGCTCCGCATCCAAATCGGGTTCCTCCTTATCAGGTTGAAGATACGAGGGCACACCATCAGCTTCACTTCCCATGTCGGCTTCAAGAGCATCAAGTTCTACAATCCAAAATTGATCAGCATAAAATTATAGAGTGAAATAACATTTAAGTCACATGCAGTTCTTGACAGCTCCTGAAGTCTTTCAGCAAGCACACATAACACTGAAGCTATAAATGCAAGCCCCCATAGCCAAGTGTTTTTCACATGCAGAAGTCCAGACTTTCCAGCTGATAGGGTCGTATAAGTTATTATTTTGTAAATTAAATAATAGTAGCGATAAAAAAGACACTAACACCAATTTCCATCATTTACTTCTTCCATACTTATGGTTAAAAAAATAGAAGCTGCCATATTTCTATCAAATTTCACATATGTAACCAAGCAAAAAGAATTAAAATCCATGCTTGTGACTATAGATAAGGTTAAAGCTTACCGCCCATGAGTTCGTCCTCATCAATGTCATCAGGCACGTTATAGCTTCTACCCAATGTCTCTTGAATTTCATTACTCACATCCATCAGGTCCATCATCTCATCTTGCAGGTTCTATAGATAAAAGGAATTAAATATAATAAGATGTTCTTTAAAATGGAAGCAGGATGGAGGATGTAGAGTATAAAGAGAGTACACACGTCTATGTCTTGAATCTTCACAGTCTTCATCATTCCTTTCAGCTCCTTGTTAGCAGATTTCAGGGCTGACATCTGGCAGAGACAAAAGACATGATATAAAATTTGTAGTAAGGTGAAGTTCTTCATACATTATTATGCATGGATGTTCAAGGGCATCCATATCCTACTGATATAAACAATTCAGGGTATAGATTAATCATTAATCACATATTCAATGAAGAAACCTCTCCCCAGTGACAAATGGTTCATCTCCTACCTCTTATGAGGTAGGCAGCCGATTCCAATAAGAGAACTGAAAAAGCTTCGCCTGAATAGTCCTGAACTGTGCCCCTTTGGGCGCTACCAAGAAACACAAATGTTTTACTGTAAAACCACTATAGCAGGGAACAAACATTGAATAACTGGTACAAGCTACCCAATCTTATAAAAATAGCCGATGACAATGACAGTAATGCTCCTCAGAAAGCATAGAGTGGATAAACAATTGTCAACGAATGAGCACATAACAATATCATGTTGGATGAAAAAAGTGTCTTTTAAGTTACTGCAACATGTCAGATATGCAAAATGAAAGTTATGAATGAAGTCAAAGGTTGCCACATACAGTTTGTTGAGCATCTTTAAGACCCTCAGCAGCAAAAGAAACTTGATCGAGGTTGAATGTCTGATTGTAAAGCATGTCACGTTGCCCTTCATACCTAACCACAAGCCATGAGTATCAGATATGATGAACAAGGAATAAAAGAGCACTTTGTATGATTTCAAACTCAACTAATTAATCAGCAAAAATAGCATGAGGTAAAAATAAAAAAAAAAAGTAATTTCCCCATCTGGTAGATTAAATGACACATAATATTCAGAAATGACACAAAAAAAAAATTACAACCTTCAGCTACAAATTTCAATAAGTTACAGATCGAACAGACAATGATTCATAAAGCATACAACTTGCCATAAACCAACATACCATTGGCTTAAATTTCCATTATAATGCACTGAACAATATAATGCCTAGTTAAAGAATTTCTATATTTCAAAGATAATTCATAGTTAAAACTGACATAAATAGCATTGACGAGAACTATAAGAAAATTAAAGTAAATCATTTGATAGAGAAGAAGCAGGTACATTCGCTTTTGCTTGAGAACCCTCATGGCTCGAGCTTTAATAGCCTCTTGAGCAGGGCCAGGCCTTGTCTTTTTTATCTGTTCTTTGTACCTACTCAGCTCGGCATCTAGCTTCTTCAGCTTGTCATCCACCGTATCACCTCTTTTATTTATCTGAAAAAAAAAAATTCTCAACCATATTATTTCAAAAATAGAAAATTTTTTTGAAACTAAGTCTTGTAATCAACCAGATAAACCCTAATACTAAGTCAGAAATCAACAGATCAAACGAAAATTTTAAAATCAACACAGAAGGGAGAGAGAGAAACCCTATCGGAGGCATCTTGAATCGACGGCGGCGGCTCCTTGTCTTTCTTAACGCCGAAGACTCTCTTCATCTTCCTTCTTTCTTTCTTTGATTCCTTAAAGGAACAGGAGGATTAGACTGATTTGACTTCGATTTAGAATTTGGAGGATTGCCAGAGATGAGGAGCCGTTTGATCGGAGCGTTCCTTTCCTTGTCTTCAAATGCACGCGTCGTCACAAAGAGAAGTTTCTAAGCCAAGAAGGGAACAAGGGATTTCCTGTTTTGTTTTTGCCCCTTTTTTTCACGGGGTGATTTCAAGGGTTCGGTTTCTTTCAATTTTTTTTTTTTCTAATTTTGACTTGGTTTGATTTTTTTTTTTTTATAGGCCAACCGGCTTGACCCATTCCTTAAATTGATATAATTTTATTAAAATGAAATTGTGTTAAGATAAAAAATTAATGGGATTTTTTTATGGTCAAAGTACCTCAAATATCTCTATATTAGGGTTTTTTATCAGTTTACTCAAAATTGGTTAATTTAATTCTTATACTTTAAGATTTTGTTCAATCAAATCCCACTCTTTAACATTATTTGAATTTACTGTTAATGGCACTTATGTGGCTTTAATATATCAAATTATGCTGTCATGGCGATAATGTGGTATTGATATGTTAACATGACAATGATGATGTGGCAAGTTTGAAAAAATATTTGAAAAAACCTTTTTTTCATGTTAATTTTTTTATGTCATGTTATAAAAATTAAATTAAATAAAAATTTAAAGTATAAGAACTAAGCTGGACAAAATTCAATAATACATGAACTAAATTAAATAAAGATCTATGCTATAGGGACTAAATTGGGTAC